AGAATAGCGCTTTCAACGCAATGTTTTAGTGAATCATCCAATACAATAATTTTCTCATCTAAATTCGATAACGGTGATGCAAAGAAGCAGGTTATATACTCGTATTTCAGACAGCCTATTAATTATGACACTCGGCTGGGTATAGACTTTCACATTAAATAAGAATATACTCGCTCTGTCCTAACGCATTTGATATCTTTACTTAAATTTTAAAAGTTGGATTTATTAATAAAGTGCATGTTATTAAAGTTTATTTCAATTTTCTAAGGAAATTCGTAAAATAAGACACAGAATCTTTATTGTTATAACAGAAGTCATGCAAATGAAGTTTGCAAATGAAACTAATTTACGAATTTTATCGCATTTAAGCGAACATCGTGAGGAAACCTGCATGTCTGAGGATGAAAAATATATGTTGCTGCGGTGTATTTACTTTACTTTTTATTTGTTCGGACACTTTACAGTACCCACGGTCACAGACCAAAACTAGGGATTATGAAATTTCATTTATATTGGAGACAGTATATTTAGTTTTGGCATTTATCGTGTGGTGTCACACCGTACACTGTAGTATTTTCTCTATATACTGTCTGACTCATCTACCAAACGCACAGCCCAAACCGCTTAACTTATTTTTTTTTGTAAAAAGAATATTAAAAATGCTATAAACATTATTAATATTCCCCTTAACCACTCGTGGTGAGCTTAAATTGCTTGTGTTACGAGTGGTTCACCCCAGTAGTCGAATGGCGGATTCGAACTCACGACGTTTTTGAATTCGTAGTCCGCGCCCCGCCATTTTAATGTAATGCAATTTTAACAGTTCGTTATCTTACCTTTTATTGCGTAGACATCCACTAAGAAAGTATTTTGAAAAATTCGACCCGTAAGATTTTGAAATGGGTGTGACCGACATGTGACACACCGTACACTGTAGTATCCTCTCTATATACTGTCTGACTGATTTCGACATAGTTGCCACGCTTGTCAAACGGTTTGGCAGCCACAGTTTTTTATTATTCTAAGTTGTTATCAGGAATACGCTGCTGCCCATATGCTGTTTCATTTTCCCTGTGTCGCTTCTTACGACATCCTCGGGACGATATGGGGTAGCGGATATTCTCACACCTCTAGTACAAAGTTACTGAAAGTAAGTACTGTATAAAATATACATACATATTTTGCGACTTTAAAACAATCTTACGGAACAGGGGCAGGGGCAGAAGGGCTATTGATATGGTTTTGGTATGGAGACAAAATATTTTGCGATTTCTCAAAGCAACCGCATCCCGGGGCGGGGCAGGGGGCAGAGGTTGTTCAAATTTGTATAGGTTATTCAATATTGTTCAACTTTGTAATAGCAAAACTAGGGAGAAAAAACTATACTATTCCAAATTTCAATTAAATTTTAACAATAATTTCACGAAATTAGATCAAGATGTTGCAATGGCTTTTAAACAATATTTTACCGATATTCCGATCTTGACTACAAAGTCACTGAATTTCACCCCTACTTACGCCGAGTCATTACTCAAACAAAATGTAAATGTCTGTAGAAAAGAATTTGCATTTCATAAAATATTATCAGGAGACATTGTAAAACATTTCAAAACTATTGAAATTAAGAAAACAGCAAATCTATAGGGGATTTCGCGTTTATAATAGCCTAGCGATCCATCCTAGCTTTGCACGGGTGATTTCCATGTCTCGATAACAGCGCCATCTACAGGATCCAATTGAGAATCTGAACAATCCAGGGACCTACTCAATCACATACAAAAAATTTCATCCATATCGGTGCGGCCGTTTTTAAGCCAGTGATAAACATACGTACGGAAGAATTATTTTTTTATATGTGGTAGAGCCACGCTGCAGCTACATTATGGATGTAACACGAATGGGCGGAAGGACCACTCTCTCACAGTGAGTGTAGAGATCTGGAGGCCCTGTTTTACTGGAAACGAGGCATTCGATCTTAGTCCTCAGTGGTGACAACGCATCTTCGTTTTGATTCTTAATCGAGGATAAATGTAGATGTCTATGGGCCACAGCATCCACTTACCATCAGGTGGATTGTGTGCTCGTTTGTCATTGTTATTCTATTAAAAAATTACATTTAGAAAGATACCAATCTGGATTAAAATATTTTGTTAGTCAGTCAATCAGACTAACTAAGGAACGAAAAACGAAGCAAGAAACGAATTGGGCAAACTATATGCGTGTGCATGAATCACATCACACATCGTAGCATCTATAAATTTAAATAAAATTGAAGTGTTTGTCTGTATTGTTAAAATAACTGTCTTCTATTAAGCTTAGGTCTGTCTGACCGCACTTATCTTCATTTACCGATTGCTGATTGATTCACAAACAGACAGAGAGCAATTCAGGGAGGGTATTTTTGCCAAATAACTTGAAGTTTTATTGCTTTCTTTAAGCCAAAAATTTATATTGTAAATAAACAACAAAATGACCTTAATAATGTAATCCACAATTGTTACCGAATTTTAGCTAACAACTGGTTCCCATATAACGGATAAAGATTGCTATAATAAGCAAGCTCCATTACAATTTATTGTAATGAGATATTTGAAGATTATGCTACGGTATGGGACACCATATGGCACTTAATATTAAAAATTATAGGTACTTAAGTGAAAAACATATTCCAATGCAAATCTAAAATTAATCAATCTAAAAGCAATCTAAAATTACCTTATGACACTAACCAAATGAATGAAATAACGTAAGCATCTTTAATGTAAGTAGACCCTTACATCCCGCAAGCAAATGAAAAACAAAACTAACCTCAACCGAGGAAAGTCTTTTTACATTATGTAATAAGTATGATCGGGCCCAGAATCTGTTGAGTTATCTATCAAGAAAATCTCAGGAACAGCGCGGAGTCAGGGTTTTATCGGTGTTTTGTGTGCCTCAGAAAGCACGTCAAGCACTTGGTTCTGCGTTTGATCTTTCTATATTTGTGCCCAATGACCGTCTCATCGGACTATGAGAGAGAGGTAAAAGAAAGTGTCCTGTCCTACGTCACTATAAAGTATTTTGTAGGTATTCCCTTGGTACTTACGTACTATAATACGTACGTGTACACTCTATATCGAAAGATTCGCACATAATGTCTAAATGTCCTAGTCTACATTGACATAAGCTGCTATGATCGAAATTCGGCGTAAAAGACATTATTCGTGTGTTGCAAATAGTAATAAAATAAAAAAAAATATAAATACTAACATTATAAATGCAATTTAAATACTTAAATTATAAATGCAACACATTCAAAAATGAAGAAAAATTAACCTTTTCGGTTTATCTTATGGTAGTAATAAAACCTTTCAATCCAAGGTTGACGCAATCTACCTACCTAGTTGCAAATTGCAATAATACTAATCTATATAATATAATGATAAATTTAAAACTTTACTGTTTTATATAAAAATGCTCCATCTATTCAGGGGCAGATTTTTAAAAAGTTCTAAAATATTTATTCTTAATATCGTTTTAAAAATTTCCCCACCACCAAGCAATAAAAGAGCCGTGGTAGCTCAGTGGTTAACGCTCGCTGTAAATATAACAGAACCCGGGTTCGATCCCCCGCCGGCACCAATGAAATTGTTAATTGCAATTTTAGGTGCTGATTTACCACGTGCTCGGCGGTGAAGGAAACCATCGTGTGGAAACCTGCATGTCTGAGGAATAAGAAAAAAAATATTTCGAAGACATGTGAAGTTCGTCAACACGCATTTGGGCAGCGCGGCGGACACTTCCTTGCCCTAAACCCTCTCAGAAATGAGGGGAGGCCTGAGCCAAGCAGTGGGACGTATATAGGCTGTAACTGTACTTTACTTTACTTTAAGCAATAAAAAATTTTTTTTGTTACGCACTAGGTAAGTTTTAAAGTATGGTAAGTTTTTAAACCTTAGTCTTAACAATTTGAGGTAAGATTTTCAAAAAATAGAAAATAATCGTATTTTATTATTTTAATCAAAAATTATTAATTTAACTATTTTCTAAGTTAAAAGTTACTTAAAACTTTTCTTCGTGCAAATATGAATTCGTCCCGTAAAAAAGTTTCGTAAAAACTGATACACCATATTTTACCCTCTAAGGGTTTGTATTTTTAAAATCCTTTCTTAGCGGACGCCTACGTAATAAAAGGAATTGTCCCAATATCATGCTTCTATGTCTAGCGGACACCGTTCTACCGTGTAGTCAGGGGCGGATCTATATATCGGCTTTTTGGGCTGAAGCCCAGGGCCCCGGATATAAAAGGCCCCCAGCTCCTACATATAACCCGCATAATATAATAGATTCCGCATACAGGGCCACAAACGCGCGCAACACATGCTTGCTGTAGCTAGCATACGAAGTAACGCTAAGAATCACGATATCAGTGTCGACCAAGTTTATGACCCCTAGGCACGTCCGAGTTCTTGACAATTTAAAAATAGTCTTGTATCCAAAATACATTAAAAATAGCTTCCAGTGCGGTGAAATAGTGTGGCAAGTCAGCTAAGACATCCAGTTATCAAAATGTATGTAATGTAGCAAAAATAAGACATCCAGTTAAAAAATGGAGTTTGTGCCGCGCCTGCGTGGAATACGTTCGTGTGTCTAGTTGCTACAAATTCTATTATCAAAATTCGTTCTTAAAAATTTGTGATTGGCCAATTTATCAAGTTTCAATTCATTATTACTCTAGTGCAGTATATATGGACTAACTCCGCCCAGTGGGAGGTTTTAGAGTGAAATAGTACATGTTCGCGCAGTTCCTAAGTCGAAAAAGTGATAACTTGAGGGTAGGTACATACATTCGAGAGTCTCGAACCCCGTTCGTTTTGAACGTGAATAACCGCTGTACTAAACGCGCTAAAGAGTTGCTTAAGCGCACTACAAAATTACGCTCGATTTCGTGCTCACTACTGACGTCAGCGACATTAATAACTTCGTTTAATTTGAACTCCTTATAAAATATTAACGCTAGAATGTCGAAGTGCGCTGCTTGCGGGAAATTTGTGAGTCCGGCTGATATGATTAAATGTAGCAGTTGTGCTAATATTTATGACAGAATATGTTTAAAGTTATCCAAAAGTTATAAAGTATCTCCAAAATGGCTTTGTCTGGACTGTACTTCTAAACAACCACGAAAAGATAATACGGAGACTCCGATTAAGGTGCAAACAGAAATAAGCCAGAGTAGTTCCTCGAACTCATCACCTTCTAGTTGCAGTGGCTGTGATGTTACAAGTAAGATGATAGAGGAGTTACGTACGGAAATTGTCGCTGTGCGCAATGAATTTGTAAACTTTGGAACGAAGTTCGACAGGCTTTACCTTGCCGTCAGCGACTTAAGTAAGCGAGTTGATGGAATAGAGAATCGGGTGGCTAATCTCGAAAAAGATGATTGCATGGAAAAATATAAGGATGAGAACAAAAAGCTAAGCGACACATTGGAGCGTCTTAAGTTCGAGTTGAACGATCGTGATCAGGAACAGCTCCTTACTGATGTAGAAATAAGTTGTATACCTGAGCATAAGGGTGAGAACGTGACTCAACTTGTTATGCTTATTGGTGAAAAATTAAATGTGAAAATTGAAGAACAGGACATTGTAAGCATCCAGCGAATGGGTCCACTGCGAGGTTATATAGAAGGAGAAGGCGCTGTTCAGCCACGACCACTTGCTGTGCGCTTGGCGCGCCGAACGCTGCGCGACCGTCTGTTACAAAGCGCGCGTGTCCGTCGCGGTGCCGATACTACAGGTTTTGGCCTGCCGGGTTCGCCGAAGAAGTTCTATATAAATGAGCGTCTTACCCGTATAAATCGCCAGTTATTCTTCAAGGCCCGTCAAATGGGCTCTAAGAGCGGTTGGAAATATGTGTGGACACGAGACGGTCGCATTTACGCGCGACGAGATCAGAACACGGAGGCACGCAGAATAACATGTGAAATCGATCTTGTCAAGTTTTTTGGCGAACCGGTGGTTGGCTAAACTTGGAGCTTTTGCTTTTCTGTTGTTTTTTTAACTGTTTGATGAACCTATTTTTTAAACTATTGGTGCTTGCATATTTAACAAAATTTTTGTAAATGATTTTTAGATTAATATGTCTATGCCCTACTCGTTTTGTCATGTATCCGCTTATGTCGTTTAATAATACTGTACTACACTTTTTAACTTTATTGAACAAATTATTTGTAAGTGCTGTGACGCTGATGATACATAATGCATATTATTTTGTATATACGTATATTATACGTGTTATACGTTTCATATTTTCCGGTTTAAAATGCTCTCTTTATTTTTAAGCCCATATTTTATAATATTATATATTATCATAATAACTTATGTCATAAACAACTATTTAATTTATTATACAACACCGATATTCAATTACACTAACTATATAAATTATGATATTCAACTTTTCTGAAAAATATTAGATAACACGAAATTTGATTTGTTATATGGTTATAGCTATAGCTACGGTGCTGCCCTGTTTGTGTATATGTGTGTATGTGAGTGTGTTTGTATAAGTATGCGTGTGTATGTTTATATGCATATACTGAAGTTGCTCGTGTCCCTGGGTTCAGATATATATTATACTCTCTGTGCAAAATGGCGCCAAAAAATCAAAAGCTGAAGGTTGATTTTTTAAATCCGGGTTCTTTGGGTACAAGGCATGAAGACTTTATTGTGGCAATGGTGCAGCATGATGTAGATATCATGGCTATAAACGAGACCTGGCTACGTGATGGAGAACAAAGTCACGCGCCATCTATCCCCGGTTACCGCTTGCGTCATATTCCACGTTCAAGTACCACGCGCGCACGTGGTGGTGGGGTTGGATTCTATGTACGTCATGGACTCGCCGTAAAAACGTGTGGATTTCCTGCCGCAACATCAGTTGAACAAATTGGCTTAATTTAACTGTTAACGGCATAAATCTGATAATAGGTACTGCTTATAGACCACTATAGCTTGACGTAGACATATTTTTTGACGCACTTACTGATTCAGTATCATCTTTTGCCCATCGCGATAATATTGTGCTCTTGGGTGACTTTAATATAAATTTACTGGTAACTGACAACAATATGTCACAAATTTGACAATTTTACAAAATACCTAAATTTAACCCAATATGTAAATGAACCTACACACATTACTCCTTACAGTGCTACATTAATTGATTTAATATGCGACCTACCAATCTCTAACGTAACCGTCGATTACATACCAACTCTAAGTAATCATGCTTTCTTAACATGTAACTTTAAAATCAATAAGCCAAAATGTCAACCAATTCAGTTCATGTATCGCCCAGTGAAAGACATAAATCGTGATAGTTTTAATTTCGAAATAGAAAGGATTGACTGGGATTCTATAGCCCAATTACCTCATGTAAATGATATGGTTTCTCAATTCAATTTAGCATTGTTAAGCCTGTTTGACCAATTCGCGCCACTAAAGCTCAAGCAAGTAAAAGAGCGTACATATCAATGGATTACCATTACTATTCGAGAAATGATAAAACTGCGAAATGAAGCACATAATCGTTTTCGCTTAACTAGATTAGAGAAGCATAAAAGGTATTAAAAAGAACTTAAGCATGCTGTAAGCTCAGCGTTATACCGCGAAAAACAGGCCTATTTTAATCAACATATAAACCGCAATTTAAATAATTCTAAAGCTCTTTGGATCAATCTTAAACGGACAATAAACATATCAGAAAAATCTAGAGACTATGTAATTCCTGACCAACTCAACGATCCGGATTTGATTAATTCTCACTTTTGCAATATACCTGGAAATGATTCAGCACCCGATTCAGAACATGTTTTCTTTGGCTCCCATCGATTTTGTTCTTCAACATTTAAGTTAAGTGTTACAGACGAAAACACAATAGCCAAAATAATTAATTCACTTAAGTCAAACGCTTTGGGCGCTGACGGCATATGCCTGGATATCGTTGTTTTAACACTTCCTTACACGCTTAAAGTAATCACCGCGATAGTTAACAGATCGATAACTACGTCTTATTTCCCTGACGTCTGGAAAACCGCTTTGGTTACACCAATTCCAAAAACCAATAGCATTATAAATTTCAAAGACCTGCGCCCTATCAGCATCCTACCCTGATTGTCGAAAATACTGGAAAGAGTAGTATGTACACAGCTTGAAGCGTACTTGGAGAGTAATCACATACTACTAAAACTGCAGTCTGGCTTTAGAAAGCATCACAGCACGACAACAGCACTATTAGACGTAGTGGACAATATTTTAGCATCTCAAGATATAGGTGAAGGAACAATCATGACACTACTTAATTTCTCACGAGCTTTCGAGTCTCTTAACATCGAATTATTATTGTCCAAGCTTTCCTATTATGGATTCGATCCAACCGCAATCAAGTGGTTCTCCAGTTATCTAAATGATCGCATGTAGTTGGTTAAAATAATTAAAAAAGATGGTACACATACTCTATCAAGTCCTTGTCCTGTAACGAGAGGAGTTCCACAGGGATCCATACTAAGCCCTCTTTTATTCATACTGTATATAGCAGATATTAGTACAGTCATTCAGAACTGTAAATATCATATGTATGCAGACGATTTGCAGGTATATCTTTCCTTTGTACCAAGTCAAACTAACTGGGCTGTTAATAACTTTAATAGAGATCTAACGAAAATCGCCCAGTGGTCAGAAGCCAACACTCTTGTACTCAATCCAGCAAAATCAAAATACATAGTATCGGGATCAAAGCGACGGATAAATCGAATAGTTGCAAATAATCCTGATCTGTGTGTCCTCGGGGAGAAGATAAATCGTGTGACTGAAGCTAAGAATCTGGGATTGCTTATGGATGACGCGCTTCGCTTTGAGAGACACGTGATCGAGATCGCACGTAATTGCTTTTACAGACTAAAAGTATTATACCGAATACGTGACTTTTTGAGTGAAGATCTGCGCATTAAGCTTTGCAACTCCCTTGTACTCTCCAGGCTAAACTATGCCGATACGGTATATGGACCAAGGCTACTTTCGAAAACTGACCGAATAATTCAGAGGATCCAAAATGCTTGTGCCAGGTATATACACCACATTCCCCCACGAACGCACGTCAGTCCCTATTTAAATAAATCAAAGTTATTAAGAATGTCCCAATTAAGAGCACTACATTTAGCAACACTAATGTTCGGTTTCTTTCAAAACAAAAAAGCCCGGGTATCTATTAGAAAAACTAAAATGGCGCAAGGACGGTAATTTTAAGGACATTCGAACAAAATCAAATGTCCTTTCAATACCAAAACACACAACGGCAGCATTCCGTGGTAGTTTCCGATATGCAGCTACTAAATGCTGGAACAACTTGCCCCCACCTATCCGCCAACTAAATACCATCAGCCTTTTCAAGGTAAAAATAAAAGAATATTTTTGTCACGTTAACATTTAGGGCGGATAAAATAGCTGCATTATATTTTCATAGTATAATATAAATATCTATATTGTTTTATTGTAAATTCTCATTATATTATTTATTATATACATTTATATATACCTACTGCATAGATAATGTTCCCATCCTTTTTCATTACCATTATTTTATTTTATTATTTTGATAACATCTTTCTCGAAAATAGAAATAAAGCGAACATACTATCCTCGCAGGCGAGTCCAACCTCAATGGGCATTGCTGAAAACCAACGCTACCGCAATCCTGCGATAGCATTATGTTGAGTCAGTGCCCTTTTCAGCATCACATCACTCATGCAATTGGATCATTTTATGACTGTTTTTGTTATTTACTTTTATCTTTGATGTTTTTATGTATTATTTTATTTTCTGTATCAAAACTGTATGAATGTAAGTTGCTGAATAAATGCATGTCTATGTCTATGTCTATGTCTAAAAAGATGGCATAATATTTCATCGGTAAGTAAATTCTATTCTTATCACGTTAACCTATTTCAAATGCACCGGAATTCAACTTATACTGGTAATATAATGGTGCAAAGTGATAACAATTAAGCACCCGTTGATGTCTTTTTGAAATGTCCCTTTCACTCATTACATAAATTACAATAGTTGTCTTTGTCTAACAACAGCACGTGTATCGATAGTGTTGTGATTTAGTAGATATTTGTTTGGTCATCATTTACATTTTTTTGTCATTATTTTATAAAAATAGTAGTGTATCATTGTGGTACCTATATGTTATAGGTTTCCTAAATGCCCTGAAAGGAAAAAGATATGGATCGACGCTACTTGCCGAGGGGACCAATGGTTTCCCACCAAAAATCCAAATTTTAATAGAGAAGGAGGCGGGGTACTACCACCTGCTTGGGACCCTATAATTAATAAAATTAAAACTAAACCCAAGCATACCACTGCAGACTTCAAAACACAGTTCATTCTGCGTAGATCGGACCAAAGACAATAATTAAAAAGCTGAAGGTACTCCGTGTTAACTTTGATATCGGGACGTCAGTCACCTCAGTCCCCCGTGACCATGGGTGCTGGAAAGCACCCGAAACATCGGGTATATGATACGCTAGATGTTGCGTGGGATAAGCTATTTTGGATTTAATAGAAGAGGTCAAGTCTATGAGACATATAGTAAGAAATTCAAATTTTTTTATGGATTTGTAAGACAATAATATGGAAAACATGGAATTGGAAGGTGTATGTAATATTTATTAATTGTTCTCCAGATGATGTAGACGAACATTTAGTCTACAAAATCTTACTAAAGTCTAAGCTAGAGTCTTACACCTCTTGCAGAGAAATGTTTATGCTAAATAATGAAAAGAAACTTGTTGATGTTTTCCCAAATTGCTTAACTATTTTATAGATTTTTTTATGTTGTCAAGCATTAACTATGAAGCGGAGCAGCTTTCTCCAGGATGGCGTTTATAGAAAACAAATAAAGGATAACAATGCTGAAAAAATCGACTAATTACTTAATCAGTTCTTTCCATAAATTGTGATTTAACAATGGTCTTACAAATGTAATGAGAAAATAAAGGAATCTGCAGTGCAAACATTTAGAAAACTCTTTATAATTTATGTAACATAACTACACATAACCTGGTAATTTATTTTCTATATATTGCATGCAATAATATCTTACAGTTGCTGTTAGTATATCTATGTAAGTCATATTAAATAAATAAAACATTTCATTACCATAATTTTTTCCTTACTATGTCAATTTAGAAAACAGTTTTTGACAAAGTTTCCATTAATTTGAATTATGTAGTAGGTCCCCAAATAGTGTTAGCCCAGGGCCCCACAAATTCACGGTCCGCCCCTGCGTGTAGTAGCGGTGTAAGTATATCCACTACCCCATATCATCCCGTGGATAGCTATGTCTTCCTGACAACGACTCAAAATTAATAACGACGGTTGGCAACCCGCTTGCAAAGCTTGACAACTGTGGCAAATATCCCCCCATGAGACAATCTATGGGGAGGTCTATGTTTTTTTGCGGAAGGGAGGGGGTTGACTGCAGTGATACCCTCTAAAAACCGCCTTTGGGGACAGGCAGCCGGCTGATTAAGCTGTATTGTGCCTTATCATGAGCGACCCTCTTTTCGGAAAAGAGGGCGCAGGCGGCTAAGAGCCGCTGAGGGAGTGCCTACGAAGGCAAATTAATGTTGGTTATTTCAATAATTTTATTTAATTAGAGTTGGCCTGAGCCGCCAGGAGACAGTTCAGGTCGTTTGACAGTTTATTAGGCGGGTTCGAGAGAGAGTTTCTCGGCCTGCGGACACGATAGCGAGAGGGGGGTGGGGCTGCATAAGATGCTGCCTCACGAATTAATTGGTTTGGGTGCGACTCTGAGGCTTTGAAGAAGTTCTCAGAGAGTTTTTTAAGAAATTGTTGAATTGTTGGGAGCTCTAAGTCCCGATGAAGGTCGGCAGAGGTCTATGGTCAGCAGTGGACTTTAATAGGATGTAACGGTAACGGTAACGGATATCCAGAGGAGTCGGCTGTGGCTAAATATAATACTTTTCATTCAAAATTTGCACCATTTTAAAACCGTACTAATATTTTGTTGTTTCAGTAAATAAACAGAGAACAGTGACACCTGTCGGTAAATGGCAATCAAATATACTATTCTATACGATTTAAATATCCAATATGAATGAAATTTCATAAACGCTATTTGTTAACGGAATAAAAAAGACATCTGTTATATGATAAGGTTCTGTCAAATTATGAGAATTTCGTTAACGAATTATAATACATAAACGACATGTATTTTAATATTATATGCAAATTTAATTTAAAATTTAATTAAAAATACTCTTTCCCGCTCCAAGAAAACTCTCAGAAATACGAGAATGTCTAGACATTACCCAGCCAGTCCAACCCAGCCGAGGTACATATATTATCGTTACTTTACTTTTTAACAATTTGTATTTCAGCCATTTCGCTTATGATTAATGAATAATAAAAATATGAGAAACTAAAAACAAACCACTTCTTTGCATCGAATTTGTCGAATAAAAGTAAGAAAATTACATTTTATGATCTTAAAAAATCGTTTTGTCAAAAGCACCATCTATATTATAACTTTCGCGTATAATAAAACCATATCTTTCTTTAAAATACCTATAGCGTCATCTAGGTAAAATTATAAGAATTAGTTGATTATGACACTTAAATAAAAAATTTGATATTTAGTTATTAACAGATAGGAATAAAATAAAGCCAACTCAAAATCGGATAATGTAATTTTGCAGTAACACGACAATGTAAATTTTACAACTTTTTAGCTAGAAAACGGAAGATTATGCCTTTTGCCTCTTATAACAATTTTATACGTTGTATGGGAACCAATTGTTGGCTAGAGAAATTCGGTAGCAAATTGTGGATAACGTTATTGAGGTCATTTTGTTTCTTATTTACAAGGGACCCCCGAACTGCACCCGGAAAGAATCTATTAATGTGGCGTTATTAAGATTTAAGAAAATCAAAGACTATAATACATTTTTTAAATTTCTTAAAAGTTACTCTTCTAAAAAATACAACTTCAAGTTTTTGCTTAAAAATACCCCCGATTTGAATTTACATTTACATCTGAATTGCTCTCTTTCTGTTCGTAAATCAATGAGTTAAGGTCATTGCGAAGGTAAGCCCGGACAGACAGACCTAAGCTTAAGAGAAAATATTTTTTTTAATAATACAAATAAGCAGACCTGATTGAGTAGGTCCTTGGGTTGTTAAAATTACCGATTAGACCCGGTAGATGGCGCTGGTATCGAGTTCCAGAAATTACCCTTGCAAAGCTGGGGCGGTCGGCTATTCTATTATAAACGCTCTAACTTTAACGGAAGTACCAAATAGATCTGCTGTTTTCTTCATATCAATAGTTTTGAAATTTGAATTACGCAGCAACGGTAGGTGCGGTGAAGTGGGGAGAGGTCTCAATCGACGCGTCAGGCGTGCGCAACGATGCCAGATACACTGTAATTACAGGAGATGTACTGTAATTTCGCGTCGTCTACTGAATACCGTATTTTTACAAATACAGTGTATGGAGAGCTAGTGATGTATCGAATGTTGGATTTTTCACATTCGCGAATGCGAATGCGATTGCGAATATTTATCTTCAACATTCGCGAATGCGAATGCGAATGAGAATATTTTGGAATTTCAAAAAAAGCGCGCGTAAAATGTTTGACAGGTTTGACATTTCGTGTCGGCCATGTTCAAATTGAAGATAGCCGAGCCGATATTGGTTAATTGAATGAATTTAGTCACAGAAAGTTCATTCTAAAATTTTTGTTTTGTTTTGAGGTTAGTTTTATGTTATTTATCAAATGAGACTTTAATTTAGAATGTAGAAGTACGATTTAATAAAAATATCTAAGTGTTATCTATTGTATTATTATTTCATATGCATGCATATAATAATTTACTTTTTGATTATTAAAAACATTCGCTGAATATTAGCATAATTTTTGCGAATGCGAATATCCGTTACATCACTAATGGAGACACAGTAGTTTTTTCCAAACAAAAAAAATTTTTTTCTCCCAAATACCGTAATTTAATGTGGAAAACACAGTATTTTCGAGAATCTGATCTGGCAACACTGGGCGTGCGGGTTTAACGTACGCGATGGAGCAATGGAACGGAGCGCAAAGTGCTTTTGTTGTCGAAGCTTACTTTAAGAGAGGTGACTCGTGTGCTGCTGCGCTTCGGAAATTTTGTTCTCAGTACAATATTCGCCGACCAAGAGATGCCCCAAGTGTAAACCTTTTGAAAAAGTGGATTAAGAAGTTTCGTGAAGCGGGTTCTACCATTAATCAACACATTCCGGGCCGCACACCTACTGTATGAAAATGTTAACCGAGTAAGTGATTCGGTCCTTGCAAATCCACGGTTTTCTTTACGGAAGCATGCGGCTGTCTTAGGAATCCCTAATCAACAGTACACGTCAAAGTTAGGAAAAAAATGCGCTTTCATCCCTATAAAATACAATTAGTGTAAGTTTTAAAAGAAAGTGATTAGTTATTACGGAAATCTTGTGCTGAAATGATGTTGGAAGTTTTTCCTACACAGCGTAGACTCAATAACGTTTTTAGCGATGAGGCCCATCTTCATTTGAAGGGCTATGTAAATAAACAAAATTTCAGATATTGGGCACCAACAAACCCAAAAGAGAGACATCAACGACAGTTACATAGTCCAAAGGTGACTGTTTGGTGCGCCATAACCTCTAGTGGGGTTATTGGGTCGTTTTTTGAGAATGAGAACGATCATGCTTTGACGGTCAATTCGAAGCGATATAAGAACATGATCGACAACGTTTTTTGCTCATATTGTAAGAACGGAACGCCATTCCAACACATGGTTCCAACAGGATGAAGCCACTGCCCATACCTCCAGAGAGTCGATGGACACGGTAAGGGCATTTTTTCCACAAAAATGATATCGAGGTTTAGAGACATCTGCTGGCCACCCAGGTCGTCTGATGTAAAATAAAATGAAAGTAAAATGTTTATTCAAACAAACCACGAACACTAGCAACGCTGAAAGAAAATATCCTTTTGAATTAATAACAAATATCGTAATCTTTTATTACTACTTGATTATTACTTGGCTACTTGTAAACGATATAATAAAAAAATATGTTTAAATTTTGAGTCGGACTATTCGTCTTATGTAAACATATTCCACAACAACTTCGAGGTTAGTAGTCCCAATAACTAACGGCATAGGTGTGACATGGACGTTACACATGATCTTTGTTTTGTCCATGTTCATCTTAAAATCTTTCCGTTGGGAGGGAAATCGAACGTGAGTGATGTATTCATCATTAAAGTTAATACCGTATCCTTTCAAGTGTAGTAGCTTGAAAACGTCTTTGACTGCAGCAGTAAAGATTTTCGGGGATATAACGTCACCCTTTCTTACACCACAGATTAATAAATAGTTTACTAACTCTCTATGTGGTTGCGCTATTGTACCTACATTTCAGCACTTCGACCTACCGACAGTCAACTTAGCACCGCTGAAGCGACTGTGGCACAGTCCAAATTACGATGAAGTCAAAGGCTTTCTCATAGTCCACATACGCAAGGCAAAATGGCAGATTGTAGTCCTTGGTCTTCTGTACAATTTGCTAAAGGGTATGTGTGTGGTCCATGGTACTAAAGCCTTTTCGGAAACTGACTTGTTCGGGAGGCTGGAAGTTTTCGAGTCTGTGTGCGAGACGATTCGTAATGACTCTCAAGAGAGTTCTTAAAGAGAGCGTTGTCGTCTTGAAGAACAAGACCATTGCACTTCTGCTCCACTCCTCCGGAGCAGTCCCACCACGGAGGACGGGATTAAAGACTTCGAATACCGGTTTTTCACCTACTATCAGAATCTCTGCTGTAATTCCCTCCTCGCCTGGGGCCTTGCCGTTTTTAAGGTGCTAGAGAGCCATTCTAATCTCGCTCAGACTGATGTCATGATATCATGTGTGATGATATCATCGGAATAGTATCGGATAAGACTTGCTCTTGGATCGTTACTCACTCTTGCTCTAATGATGGCGTGTACCTACTTACCTAGCTACCCATAAAACCTCTCAATCTAACTTAAAATATCAGGTGTCCCGGAAACGATGCTGCCACAGTCGGTCTTTAACTTCGACAGTTGACTATTTCTGACAGACAGATCTTTAACAAAGACTTTATATACACATAATACGAGCTGTATTGAGGTTAGGTAAGTCTCGTCGCAAGCATTTGGAGATCTGTCTGTTCAGTTGCCTGTAAGCTGTCAAATCTACTGAAGACATTTTCCGTCTAAAAGCCGTCAGATTAAGAGCGTGGTCGGAGAGTTTTTGTGTTCTTCTACGGTGGGTCTTGCAGAACTTAGGTTGGACCGCATTTGCAGTTTACACAAGCTTATCATTCATATCGTTCACTGCATTGCAATCTTTTAGGCAATGAAAACGGTTTTGTAACTCGAGCTGAAAGGTTTCAGGACTTTGGACTTTGGATTAGAGCACGGTAGGGACGGAGCGTTGACTTCATTAGACGAGACCTCTCGAACTTAACGTTGGTGATTGGTTATACAGGTTTGACCTTCAGCAAATACCGTTTGGTGATTTTGAGTATAAGGTACACAACCCTCGACGACTCTCACACTTACAATCTTTACAAAGTTGTTAACGAGAGACTTGTTGACGGTAAATCTAACTCCTCCTTGATATAGATAGTCGTCATCCCGGTGATAGAACAACTTGCCGGATTTTAGGATTACCTTGTCCTCCCTCTCTCTTCGGACCTCAGATAATACTATAATATGCCAGCTTAACTTATCGATCTCTTCTTCCTGGTTCAGGATATTCTCGTCAGTCCTCAAGGCGCGTGCGTTAAATGTTGCCATGTCGAGTCATTTTGGGTGGCAATCAAACCTCCACCGGAGATTCTTAGCACCCGTGCCCCACTTTTACCATGGTCACCACCGTAGCCAGAAGTAGTGGGGCCGCCGCAGACTGGGGGCCGTTTACTTGTATCGTTGTTCATGGGGGGATGTTTGCCATAGTTGTCAGGCTTAGCGAGCGGGTTGACAACAGTAGTTTTTTATTGTTCTATTGCTATAATCAGAAAGATGCTGCTGCCCATCTCCTACCTCAGTTTTCCTTTGTCGCCTTATATATATATATTAGGAATGAGCACAAGTTAGTTATGCCAGTTACTCGACTCCAAAGAGTCAGTAATTCCTTCATGGGGCAATGTTTACGCTTTTACAACATCATCATCATCGTCATTACAGTCCTTCAATTCAATTCTCTTCAATTCTCGTGTCGTACATATCGTACGTATACGTCATCATTACCTACAGCCCTTCACAAGTCCACTGCTAAACATAGGCCTCCCCCAAGGTATGCCACAAAGCACGGTCCTGAGCCACCTGCATCCATCGACTTCCTGCATGTCTTACTAGGTCGTCACTCCATCTAGTGGGGGGTCACCCTACACTTCGCCTACCGGTACGATGCTGCCACTCGAGAACCCTTTTTCCCCAACAGTTGTCGGTTCTTCGAGCTATATGGCCGGCTGATTGCCACTTCAGCTTACTAATCCGTTGGGCTATGTCAGTCACTCTGGTTCTACTGCGGATATCCTCAGAACAAAAAACAGCCAGATTGGGTAGAGTGCCAGAAAGGGCTTTATTTGAAAATAGAGCCCGCTCTACATATAGAGCGCGCTCTACCCATACTCAAAGAAACGTAAACCAACGCCCGAGACCAGTGCCAACGCCTTCTCACGCCCCAAGAACACCATCAGCCAGCTTCGTGACTGCTGACGCCATCCAACGCTTGGTTCGCATAGCAATCGCAGTCGGCAGTCAGGTCCTGGCCGATATTAGAGCCGGTACGGATCCTATAACAGTGGTGATGAAGGCGCTGGCAAACCTCCTAGCACGGCACTACGGAGGAGAGTAACCTGCGCCTCCTCTACTGGAACCCGGATGGGATACAGCAGAAGCTGCATGAACTCCGCACAGTCGCTCAACAACAAGACATTCAAGTCATCTTGCTGGGAGAGACAAAACTAAATCTGAACACGCACGTAAAGCTGCCCAATTACCACATGTACAGGAGGGACGAGGTCACTTCTCAAGGGGCCGCCTATAGTAGGACGGCGGTTCTAGTGAGGAGGGACATCGTCCATCAAGAGCTGGATTTACGTGAATATCAAACGATGCGCTCTATCGGCATAAAAATGGAGGCGGCGGGCAAGGAACTAAGGATCTATGCAGCATACCGCCCGCCAGGGACGGCGAAACACCTACCACCATCGCCGGGGACCTAAACGCCAAACACCCGTCGTGGGGATCTAGAGTGATCAACCCTAAGTCATGCACTATTTGAAGATGCTGAAAGACACAGCTACGACGTCTTAGGTCCCGAAGAACCTACACACGTTCCGAGAGACCCACGGAAACGTCCGGATGTATTGGACATCGTGCTCTCTAGGAACGTCAA